GTAGTAACACAGGACACACACATTATTTGTTTTTACTACTATCAAACATAGCTGATATAGCTCCATAGTATAGCACTACTTCTATAGGAATGTAAAAATCACATATTTTTGAGAGAGTACATATATGTATCAAATATATAGCAGAGAGAGAGGGGGAGCTACACACCTGCTATAGAAATATATGTATCAGATATATATCATTTGAAAAATAGGTGCTATATAGCTGCAAATATCATTGATTGTAGCAGTTAAATGATACATGAAATACATGTATCAGTTATATAGCAGTTACATAAAACATATTGCTTTTAAAAATCAGATATTTTGAGAGAATACATATTATGTATCAGATATAGGCCTATAGCAGAGAGAAGGGGAGCATACACCTGCTATATAAATATATATAAACTGAGTTTCGGCAGACTGGGTTGTCATGATTTTGGTGATACTGGATTCGACAATCTGGGTTTCGGCAAAGTGGCTTAAACTCGGCAAAATTGTCGGATACCATTGTGATAGGGTCTTTTACAAAATGGTCGTCTCATTAACATCACGTTACCGGGTATCTCATCTGGAATACACATCTTTATGCTTAGTGTAATTATATAAGAATAATAAAGCCATTTGTTAGATATTTTTCATGATCACCTTTCGATTCTTGGCTCATTAAACTCGTGTATACCACAGTCATTTACACGTACGTTGTCTTAACTAGAACTAAATAATGTGCAAATAACATACAGAAATATGATAGTATATTATTTGCTCTGTTAGCTTTTGTCAATTCATTGAACTCACAGATCGAAAACCATTCTCACGCCGGCCAGATCATCAGAGCATGTCTCTCTTTAATTAACAGGGTGAATTATGATTGGTGTACCAGTCAGGCACTGGTACATCATACAAAGAGCCAGCCCCCTACCTTGATGCTATAATTATGTCATTGACATAGGCCTACTTTAAACTGGATTTGATTATCAGTACTCTTCAAAATTGCCTAGGTAATTACAAAACAAGAACAAATTAAGGCTGGGGTAAAATGTGAAATGGGAACTTTGATATGAAGCACTGTCATAATATTACTGTTGGCAATGTTTGGCTACTAAGTTATATTTGTATGACCTTTCTGAAAACCATAATCTTGGTTTTCACTTTTATTTAGTTTTAATTTATTTTTGGTACAACAATAATAATAATAATAATAATAATAATAATAATAATAATAATAATAATAATAATAATAATAATAATAATAATAATAACAACAACAACAACAACAACAATAATAACAACAATAATAATAACAATAATAATAACAATAATAACAGCAATAATAATAATAATAGTATTAATAATAATAATGTTAGCAATAATAACAACGGTCATAACAACAACAAAAATAACAACAAAAGTAACAACAAATATAATAATAATAATAATAAAAATGATAATAATAATAATAATAATAATAATAATAATAATAATAATTATTATTATTATTATTATTTATTATTATTATTTTCTTTTGGTCAATTTCTTAGAATTAAATACAAATAAATGTTTTTTGTTTCGATAATTGTACGCAATAGTAAGTTGAATTCGAAACAAGACCTAGGCCACTGGGGCTTATTATGTTTTAGTATTTTGAAGCTTATCTCGGATTGTAGGCCTAGCAATAATGTATCGACCATTATTCTCTGACGCACACAATGCCTGTCAACAACGTACTCACTATACAATGATTACAATAATTCTGTATCTAATAGGGGAATTATTAGAATCGTGAAATTAATTATAGGCCTACTTTTACGACTAACAGTCTTCAATGTCTTTTTATGCTTGCTAATAATAACAATAGGAAATTATCTGTTTTGTTGCACCAATTAGTTGCTAAATTAGCTAAGGTAAGCAACTGATTGGTCCAACAAAACCGATCATTTTCTACTATATTTATGGAACCAGATGAAATTCTTTGAGAATAGTAATAATGATAATATTGATAATAATAATAATAATAAAAATAATAATAACAATAATAATAGTATAATAATTATTATTACTACTACTACTACTAATAATAATAATAATAAAAATAACAATAATAGGTAGATTTATAAAGCGCAAATAAGTAACGTCTCTATGCAACAGCAATTATAAACAAATCATTATTACTTTTATTACCAAAAATTAATGACGTAAGGAACGAGGAACAAGATTTTAGTATAATGGCAAAACAAGACAAAACAGTCACTCTTCACAAAAAAGTAGTTTTTATATAGTTAGTAAAATTATCATTACTATTATTATATTATTATTATTATTATTATTATTATTATTATTATTATTATTATTATTATTATTATCATTATTATAATTATGCTATTGCCTTTACGGTTGCCTATCAAACCTAATTTGAATATATGTATGCATCTATATACGTATATATAAGTAAACATTGTTTTTTACGCAATCTAATATAAACTCAATAGTCTCATTGAACACCTTAAAGTAATTTACATTAAATACGGAAAATGAACTTAAACTTATTTGATGACGCTGCAACATTAGTATTTAGATCCATTGCTGACATATTGTGAATACATCAGGTGCCTGGTTAAATCAAACAATTAAAAACAAATTCTTAGCGTACCTCTCTCTGATCCACAAGGTCCCCGCGTTCGCACGTTATCTTTAAAATCCAGGTGAGAACGGGATGGTGGAAAAGTCAATACAACATGACTATAACAGGAATATATCAGACTTACGAAAACGAGTAGTTTGAGTTGTGAATACATTTTATATTAACCTTTACCAATGTTGATGTAGTTTGCTTTCCCACCTTTTTTTTTCTGGAATGACCGTCAACTGAGTTCAAGCTGCTTTGAATACTGGACTGTTCCATTTTAGGTGAGGGAATCCGGTGGTGTAAAATTTTCGCATTTTCGCAATTTCATCAATAAAGATAATGTGCACTCCATTCCACATTCGTTGTATAATTCACTAAAAAATTTTATTTTGATTTTTTTTTACACTATAAAATGTCGATGTATAACACTTTACTGCACCGGCATGTCTTCATCATTGGCTGTCCTGAAAATACTTATCCAACCCGGTGACTTGCATTTTCTTTTGAAAGTTCGTCAAAAACAGTTTGCAAGAAGACATATTGGACATATTTGGACGTATTATTTTGTAAAGTCATGGTATTTATCGGTGCCATCCACTACCATCATCGTCAGTGTTCAAATCGTCACGACAACGTCCAAATATCACCAAGCGAATTATTATAATTTTTCATTCATATCATTATTATAATGATTATCATATCCACTATCATTATCATCATACTCATCTTTATCCTCGTCATCATTATCCTCGTCGTCGTCATCATCATCATCATCATTATCATTATCATCATCATCATCATCACCATCATCATCATCACCTATCATCATATTGTTATTCGTTGTCATTATTATTATAAATTAACAAACAGATAATTTTATTTTAATATATAAATATATATATCATATATACTATATATATATATATATATTATATGTTGTGTTATATTGTATATGGATTTGATATCTGAAATAAAGAATGAAATGAATATATATATATATATATATATATATATATATATATATATATCTTGCAGTAATGCTGAAAATGCATATACATTTTAAACGTTAAGAAGAGAAATCTGCGAGATAATCTGGAGGAGGGTGCTC